ATTAAACTCCGCTACACTACCTTGTACCCCATGTTGAAGCCCAACTATGGCTTGATCTTGCTAAACAAACTCTCAGCTTTGAACTCCCAATCAAACCATTGATTTGGAACTGCTTAGGCATTGCTTTGAGAGGGCAGTGAAGGGCTTGTTATTATGTGCTAACATGTGCTTGGATCACGAGATGAGTCCCTAAGATGCTATCACTTGTTCCTTTCTTAAAAAAAATACTCCCAAAAGAATTTAAATAACGGCTGCAATATGATGTGTGAGTATCATGGGTTGAGACTCGAGCTTTTATGCTAGGTCGCAGTGTCAGTTTCAGGCATGTTCCGGCAGGCCAAAACTCTCGGACCATGACACGAGCATGCATGACAGGTTATTTTCTTTATCTGTCTTTGCCTAATTGTAGCACAGATGCTACAAAGATTAAGGCCCTATGATATAAGTGGAGGGATCAGATTATAGAGTTAACTACCAAGAAAAGATTCCACCCAAAGAAAGGTAAATGAACAGGGAACAAATGAACTAAAAGTTGAGGTGGTAGATTGATGGTTAGTGCCACAGTCATGGGGCAAAGAAAAGGCATCTCATCGATCTCATCCTCAAAGTCTTTTACAGAGAGCAACAAGTAACAAAATTTCCAAAAAAAATAAAACTAACCAAAGAAAAGGTAGAAGAGCATTTCAATAAATCATATGCATAATGCCAACAAGATCTCATGGAAGATCCGAGATATGGTTCTAAAAGAAGAAGTATAGACAATCAGAGAATGACATCCCTGGAAATCAATCAGAAATAAACAACAAAAAGAAACAATCTTGAAGACCATTTTTGTTTGACTTGTGTTATTTATACCAACTATCCTTCTATGGGCACAATGATCATACTAGGTATTAACAGCAGACTGCAGTATCTCATCACATTAGCAAAAGAGAAGTGTTATCACCTAGAGGTATCCAGGGAAGCCTCATTAGCACCTTGGCATACAATCAAAACCGGTCAAGAACCATCTCAGCAAATGATCAACTATGGCAAAATAATGCGCTTGGAGTTGAAAACATTGTGTGGGTTCCTTGCTCATCAACATAACGTGTTGCTAATGCTTTAGCAGAATATAGCCATATCCCCTGTTCAATCAGAAAACTTATCATGGGTTAAAACCTACTAAATAAAACTACATGATACAGAAGACAAAAGGACCAACATTTTGTAGCTAAAATTACCTTCATGCAAGTCCAAGATTTTGTAGTTGATTACAGTGTGGGGTTGGCAAATCCTTATTCCATCGGCGCTTATGGCGTTCTACATGGCAATACCGCCACAGCATATGTTTGTAATCCTTAATGACATTATCCTCGATATTAGCTCTAGCAGCAGTTCCTTGGGGAAAGTTCACATCGAAGGTTGATGATTTGACGAAAAAATCCACTCCATATTTCTCGGTAGTCTTGGGAATCTGATAGGAGTAATTCCTAAACAAAGAGTAATCAGGCTCGGAACCGGGCAGATAAGCAAGCAGGAAAATCAACAAAATCGGCAACATTTGAATAAGAAGCAATAAATTAGGTCCTCCTCTATGCTGCTCCTCCCTCTGTTGATGACCACCCATTCCTCTAGTCCTGTAAACATGTGTCGTCCTAAACATGTCTCCCTGACCAAAAAAGGACCTAAATATCTCATCAGGATCAAAATCATCATCAAACAAATCATTCCCATATCTTCTCCGTCTCTGTCTCACATTATTCCGCTGATTGTACTCAAATTCATCAACCAAATCAACTCGATCATACTGCCTCCTCGAATCATCATCGCTTAAACACTTAAATGCCTTGCACACCTTCTTAAATGCTTCCTCAGACCCAGGAGCCTTATTCTTATCTGGATGAACTTTCAAGGACAATTTCTTATACGCCCTCCTGATTTCATCAACGGAACAATTCTTTTCCACACCAAGAATCGAATAATAATCACTGTTTCTCTTAATCTGCCTGATCAGCAGAACATGTTCCTCGGTATAACTTCTCTCCCCATCAAAACCCTCATCCAACTTAGATGAGCCGCCATTATTTTCATCGCCTAAAACACGCTTTTCATCAACAGAAGAAACCGGGGCTGACCCAGAATCGAGATTTTCACAAGCATCCAAAAGCTTATCAACAGATAAAGTACAGTTCAGGCGTCGAGCAATTCTAATGAATTTGAGCGCACGCTGTTTGTTACCAGAAGCAATTGCTTCTTCAGCAATGCGAACACATCTTAAAGCCTCGTCTTTATTACTATCCATAATACCAAGTTTCTCTAAATCCAAAACCCTAAATTTACCGAATGAAATTTCACAAACTTCAATTTGAAAAAAATACAAAATAGAACACCTAAATCAAAGGGAAATACAAATTATTGAAGTGAAAAATTCAGCAAAAAGGACAAGCATAAAGTAGAAATATAATTCAAAATTAAAGAAACTCGCCAGATCGAAAATTGGAAGGAGGAGAGAATGAGAGAGATGGGGTTCACTAGAATTCAACTGAATGACGTGAATGACCCGGGTTTTGAAATTTATACCTTTCGGAAATCGAATGATAGCACGCCACGTCAGTCTCAATGACGATATATAGAGTAGAAGATCTAAGCTTATGGCTCTTTTTCTTCGTTTTTTCATCTTAGAATCAAACCGGATCAATCGGTCCAATCTGTTAAACCAAGAATAGGTGGTCCAGTCGGTTAAACTGAGGACTTATTTTATTATTTTTAAAACCATGAATTATATAGTATTAATATTATTTATTTTATATCTTTAACTTGCAAAATATAAATATTTATCATTAAATATTCATTAACAACGTTCATACATCATACAAATACAATTATTTTAATTCAAGATTAAAAAAAATAACTTTTTTATTATTGTGATCATTTACTAAGTTCTACATAAATCAAATTATCTTTGGAGACAAAATGGGATCTATTTTTTAGAACGGTAATATAGTGTACATGGTCCCGGCGAAATAAGATGATCTTTGAACTTAAAACTGTAGTTTTTGAAAGTATTATTCAAGCAAGCAAACGAATGTTGAACGAATCTTTATGAGCGGTTGAGTATTTGGGGTTGCAACCTTTTGGTGGGGGTGTGTTACTACGAATCGTAATGCCAGATGGGAACCTCCGTTTATTGGATGCCTTAAGCTTAACACGGATGGAGCACAGGGCCATGGGTCGGGTTGACCCAACCCAAAAAGTTTACCTCCTTCATCCGATCTGATTCGACCCGAAAAATATATACACTCCACCCGACCCGAACCCGATTTTTTGAGATAAAATCCGAACCGATCCGACCCAACCCAAAATAATAATAAAAATATTATTTTTATTCGATCCAACTCGAATCCAATCCGACCCGAACCCGATTTTTTTAAGTATCCAACGGGTCGGATGGAACCATCGAATTTGGGTCTCATGCCCATCCCTAAGCACAGCGAACGGATTCAGGTTTGGCTACTTGCTGTGGTTTCCTTCGTGATCATTTGGGGGTTGGATTAGCGGTTTTTCAAAATCATTCGGTTGTTGTTCAGTGTTGAGAGCGTGGTTGTGGGGTTATCCATGGCTTGAAACAACGAAGTGCAAAAGATGATTGTCGAAACGGATAATAAGGAAATGTTCACAGTTCTTAATAAAGATCTTAATGTGCATAGTTTTTCTTCAATGATTCCTCAAATTTAAACTCTTTTTGATTGGGGATGGAGGTTGTCTTATAATTATGTGTATCGCAAGGTATGACTAAACTGACTTGGAATCTACCGTCCGGTATCTAGATTTTTCAGACTCCTCTCATGACAATTGCAGACGTTCTACGTGGGGACATTTTACAATCACCAACTGAAAATGAAGTTAGCTAGGTGACCTGTTTAATCCCCCATCTTTGTTTTATCCTCTTTATATTAAAAAATGATTTAAATTTTAAATTTAAGGAAAGATTAAATATGTAAAATTTAAATAAATGAAAATTAAAAATCAAATTTAATCTTCAATGAGTAATTTAGTTATTTTATGATTTAATCAGTAATATTTTTATTTCTTTAATTATTTTTTCATTTTAAATTTATTTTTGATCAAATTTCAATCACACATTTCTCATAGAATATTCTTATAACTTCAATTATTATTTTTGAAAAAACAAATCTTATTTCTTTTAATTTTTTTAAAATTTTTTATTTTGTTCAATTTGATCTTTGACCGTAACTCTTTATAATTTATTTATTTATTTTAATAAATTCTTGACTCCTTCAGAGATGGACCTAGAGGGGGCAGGTGGGGCAGTTGCCTCCTAAAATTTTTAAATTCTTATATAATTTAGATATACTCTTTGTATTTTTAGTTGAAATATGTTTTCGCCCCCTAAAATTTTATAAGTTCATATCCCCTTTAAAACTTTATAAGTTCGCTCCCTCTAACATAAAATCATGCACCCGTCCCTGGACTCCTTTATACTCCATTCAATACTTAATTTTTATATATTTAAAAAAATATTATAAATATATAATTTTAGATGATATTTGATTTATTAAATAACATTACAACTCTTACTTAAACATGAATATATATATATATATATATATATATATATTATTAGAAATAAATGTTTAAATTGAAACCAATTAATATCATTATAAATAATTATATTTAAATTTAAATAGAAACTCGAATAAATATATTCAATTTGAATAAGTTAAAATTTTATAAACTCAAATTAATTAATTAAATTATTAAAAAATTAATTACTTAATTAAAAACAATAAAATAATACTCATAAACTCAATTAATTTTAAAAAAATTAATTCAACTCGATTAATACTCACCATAATCCTATACTAACTAAAGGAAACATTCGGCCCTATTGCCAAACAAGGTTATATCAGAGATTCGCCTCAGCTTTAAGCTTAAGCCCAAACCTAAAAGCCTAAATCATCAGCCGAAACCCTCGTTTATAAATACCTATCGTCCCCTTCTTTCAAATCCTGTCTAGCTCTCTTTACTCACTGTCGCCTTCTCCCATTGCCATACCTAATTTTCCCAGTTTCTCGCTTCGATTTCTCAAAGAGAGAAGCTGCAATCATGTTGGTTTACTAAGATCTAATTACCGGTAATTGTTTTTTTCTGCAATATTTCTTCAATTTTGATTTGCTTTTCACTGATTTATATTGTTTTCTTTTCTTTTTGGTTTCGTGATATTTTCTGTGTTGTTATTATATCTATGTTTAGTTCTTATTTGGTTATATTTGATATTGTTTCGATGTAGATTTAGTCAGTAACAAAATTAGAAACCCTAACAAAATTTCAGATTTTATCTGTCGTGTCTAGAAATTATAGTAATCTTTGATGTTTTAAGCTGAAAGAAGTACTGATCTTTTATTACTTTGCATCGTGAACATGTCTTGGAGTTGTGTCGATGTAAGTGTGTTGAACCAACTGTTATTTGATTCATCTTTCATAATTGAACTTAGGGTTATTTGATTTAATTGGATTTTTGTTGATACACGTGTGTTGGACTTTGTTTGATCTAGTTGAGTTGCACGAACTGTCTTTTTTCTAATGAAATTTAAAATCAATTAGCTTCTGGATTTGAAATTTTTAGTAAACTCGTTTCTTCTTAAAGCTAAAATATACAGGTTACTTTTATTACTATGCGTATTTTTTTTAATTATACATGTTAATTGATATTTCAGGTGACGAGCTTCTTTCTGACTCATTCTCCTACAAGGAAATCGAGAATGGAATGTTGTGGGAAGTTGAGGGGAAGGTTAGTATTTTGGTTTAATTGTTAAGTTTAAAGATTTAGATTCTTTATCACGTTAAATTGAATTTAACTTAAATTTGTTTTTTTGCTATTTTTAGTGGGTTGTGCAAGCAGCGGTTAATGTTGAAATTGGTGCCAATCCTTCTGCTGAAGGTGCAGATGAGGATGAGGGTATTGATGATCAAGCTGTGAAGGTTGTTGACATCGTTGACACTTTCAGGCTTCAGGTTAGCCGGTTTTACTCTTAAAATTATTTTCACGATTTTTCACTTTTTGAGTTTTGAACTTGAAAAATGTATTAAGATGCCTCTTGCAGGAGCAACCTGCTTTCGACAAGAAGCAGTTCATTGCCTACATAAAGTTCATCAAGAAATTGACACCCAAATTGGATGCCAAGAAGCAAAAAAGCTTTAAGAAAAACATCGAGGGAGCAACCAAGTATTTGCTTGGGAAACTGAAGGACCTTCAATTGTGAGTTTCATTTTTCTGTTACCATTTCTCTTGTATTTCATCAAGTTCCTTTTCGGTATACCAAAACTATGGAATCTTTCTTGCAGTTTTGTCGGTGAGAGCATGCTCGATGACGGATGTGTGGTGTTTGCTTACTATAAGGAGGGTGCTGCCGACCCAACATTTTTGTACCTGGCTTATGCATTGAAGGAGGTCAAGTGCTGAGGTTTGAAGAACCAAGTACTTGCTAAAGTTTTCGTCTTTATTATTTTTCTTACTCCAATTTTTCCTGTCTTCTGTACTATTGAGACTATGTTTCATGGTTTTTGACGTTTCTGGGATGGTTTTTGTTCTATGGTTTACATTAAAGCTTGTTCTTAATTAGTATCACATTAAAGCTTTAGTTCTTAATTTATTTGGTCTGATTTTTGGACAAATTTGCTATGGTTTACATTAAAGCTTGTTCATAATTAGTATCACAACACTTTTACCCCCTTTCTTATCTCTCAAAATTATAACTTACAAGCCTGAGGTATTATTTTTCTGAAAAATAAAAACAATTAATCTATTAAATAAAAAAGACGTGGAGCTAACTATATCCAACCTTTAAGGTTGGGTCATTTGTTTAGTCTGGTTATCGTTTGAGAAGTTTTTATTAGTCTTGGGTTGAATATGTTCAAAGTTTGAACATTCAGATATCCTTGCATGGTGTTTAAATTCTTAAGATATTTTCTGTATGTATGATGTTCGAATTTGAGATTTCAAGAAATAATAATAGTTTATTAACTATGAGGTCACGTGAGGTAACGTGGTTTGTGGTGTTTGAGAAAATTTGAGTAAAAATATTAGATTGAAAAATGAACGGAGTAAGAAGATTGCGAATTTGAGTTTCATGGTTTGAGATTTACCTGAACTTTTTCTTTAATTTCAGTATATGTGTTTATTTTTAGAAAATTCATAAGAGAAATCCATTGAACTACGAAGGGATGGATTTAATATTAAATATTTTCCTCTAACTTTTTATTTAAGGAATGATGCTTTATTAAAAAAAATATTTGAACAATATCATCTCCTTTCTCTTGCATATAATTAGTAAAAAAATTGAATTTTCTTTATCACGCCTCATATTATAGTAATTTTTAAAAACTATTTTTTGTAAAAAAAATTATGTATATTGAAGGGATAATGACCAATTTTATTGTTCCTTTCATCCGTTATGAATAATAAATAGATCAACGATATTCACCGCGGCATCGTTCGGTACAAAATAAAAAATAGGAAATTAAGAGGTACGCTAGAAACAAAACCAACGTTGATGGCATTTCTGCCACCAAATCAAAAATCTTTAAACCGAAACATAATTATTTCAAACATAGCCGTTCAATAATTTTGAAAAAACAAACAAACAAAAAGTTTACCCAAATATACAAATATCGAAATTATCAACTTTATATAGTTTTCCATCTCTCTATAAATTTTGATTCAAATTTATCCAAATTTTCCTTTTTTTAATATGTACGATCAAAGCCTTCGTACAATCAAGCTGTCTTTTATACTGCAAATCTTGAATCGCCGACGTCCCTCTTCATTTCTCATTAGCTGGTAATTTGTTTATTTATTTATGTTTTCTTTTAATTTTCTTTTGTAATTTGAAATTGAATACGTGAATTTTGATTGACATTTTTTTATTTTGATAGATTTAAGGAAATTCGCATGAATTAATGCAAATTTCATTTTTTTTGGAAGAATGTTCTTCGAATTCGGATTTTTATTCTGCTATATTTAAATTTATTTGTTAATATTTATGTTTGTTCTTTTTGCGGTGATAAACAGGTTTTAAGAATTGGCTCCTCAAAGACGATCGCAGCGTTACGTAGGTGGCCAAATGCATCAAAGCAATGCAGCCGCAACAGTGCTTTACGATCACTCCAGTGGAGAGTCCTTGCACAACGCGGATTCCGCCTCCGGCGGCGATCCCGGTGATGCCGTCATGGCGCGGTGGTTGCAGTCCGCTGGATTGCGGCATCTTGCCTCTACGGGCATCGACCAACGCCACCTTTCCGATCTCCTCATGCAGGTAAAACAACCAACGCTCTACATTTAATTTCCACGTGTACATTTTTAATGCTTGAAATTTACTTCGAAATTTCAGTTTTGGTGGAACTTTGTTTGGCCGTGGCTATTGCAGTTTAATTAAGGGAAGTGTTGTTGAAGTTTCCACAATGTTCTACGCCCAATCATGTGCCCCTTTTTTACTATTTACATTCCATGATTTGATGGAATGAATATGTTCTTTCCTCCTTCGCGTGAAGTTCTGAAAAATTCACCCCACTTTTAGTATGAACAGTTAGGGCGACAGACATTTTGAGAAAATCGGAGTTCATAACTAGTTGATCATTCTTCTCATGAGTTTATTATTATTTTTATCTCATTTTATAAGTTTTAAATGGTTTTACATTCTACGGATTCTTAGATAATGAGAAGTTACCGTTTCATTATTGAAGGGTTATGGAGCACAATCTGCAGAAGAGAAGCAGAGGCTTGTCACATTAATGAGGAACTGCAATTTTAATGGGGGATCTAGATCGGAGCCATGCATGCCAACTGGCCAAAGATCAGGAGGGTTCTTTTCTCCAGATTTCAGGGGGGATATTGGATTTGGGCTTTTGGATCTTCATGCTATGGATGATACAGAACTTCTGTCTGAGGTATGGTTTAGGACACTGCACCTAACTTTGCTTGAGATGTCTATAATAAGTGGTTCCTGGAAGTTTAGGTTGATAACATCCAACTCTACTATTCTTTTTTTATTTTTGTGGTGATTTGATTAGATATTTCTTGATGTTGTTTCCTTATGATATTTTTTAAAATTGTCAAAAAGTTTGCTTCAATTTAAGTTTGCATATTCGGGTTTAGAAATTTTGATTTTATTTGGTTGCAGCATGTTATGCTTGAACCTTTTAGACCATCACTAATCATGCCTGATGTGAACAAAGCGTTGCAAAATCAATCTAGTACTAGCCAGCAGCAAAGAAAAGAGCAAGTTTATTCAGATGCCATATGCTCTGCCAGTGAAAAGGAGACCAGCACGAGGGAAAATAATGTTGCTAAGATTAAAGTTGTGGTATGTTGGTTTCTTTCCATGGGGCTTCATTTCTCTCCCCTCTTTCTCACCTTTCTGTAGAGATGGGGACATCTAAGATTATAGTTTATGTCCTCCGGCTTAGTGTCTTTTTTGTTCCTTTCATTGTCATCTTGCTTTTTTGTGTTTCATTATATATGTTCTGGACAAAGTAGATGCATGTTAAATGTCATGTAAGCTAAAAAAAATCTCTAACATTTGGTACAAGGTACGTAAAAGACCATTAAACAAGAAGGAGATTTCTCGGAAGGAGGATGACATAGTAATTGTGAAGGAGAATTCTTTAACTGTCCATGAACCCAAGCTAAAGGTTTGTCCCTTATTCACTGCAGTTATGTGACATCGCTTTGTATTCCTGAGATGAATATTTTAGAACTGTTCTTACCTGTTTGATATGTCATTTCACTCGTTCTTATATTTTGCTTTAATTGTTATACGAGAGGTGGACTTGACAGCATATGTGGAGAAGCACGAATTCTGTTTTGATGCTGTTCTGGATGAGCATGTAACCAATGATGAGGTAATACTTGGTTGAAATCTATTTCCTTAATGCTATCCGAACATGGTTCATGAATAATGTTATGACCAAAGTTTGTTGATTTGTCAGAAAAAAAAGATCGATCTAGTCTATTGTTTGATTCAACAGGTTTATCGTGAAACTGTTGAGCCGATAATTCCCATCATCTTTCAGCGAACAAAAGCTACTTGTTTTGCTTATGGACAAACAGGTGCATAGTTTCTGAACTTTCTTCCAGATTGGCAGGCACATGTGCTACATATATTATGTTCTGTTTTTCTATGCTTCATGCTATATTCGCGTGGAAGGAAAATTGTTCAATATCAACGGCATCTATATACTTTTTTTACATGAAACTAGTTCTTTGACCTTCTTGGGGAGTAAAATTTTGATTTAAAATGTACAAACATATTTTCTGTTTGTTATTTCTATTGCATTGTTTGATGTTTCCTCTCATACCTGCCAGAAACTTCTTCTTTGATTTTTGTAGATCGTTGCTCGACTCTAAGTCATTTACCATATTCAAAGAGTTGGGAAGAAATTAGATTCTAGTTAGAACCGGAAGTTCACAATGCAACCATTACCTCTGAGAGGTAATGGTAATGTGGCATGGTTTCTATTTTTGCTTTTTGCACGTCTCTAGAACCAGAAGTTCACAAGCCAGAAACTTCTGTTTGATTTTTGCACATCTTTAGGTCATGGTAATGTGGTATGGTTTTTATTTTTGCTCTATGTCATGGAATATTTACCTTTTTAATTTCAGGTAGCGGTAAGACGTTCACAATGCAACCATTACCTATCAGAGCTGCCCAAGATCTTGTTAAATACTTGCACCAGCCAGTTTATCGTGATCAGAAATTTAAACTGTGGCTTGGCTTTTTTGAGATCTATGGCGGGAAACTCTATGACCTTTTGAGTGAGAGAAAGTATTTCCCTTTTCTTTCCTTCCTGCTTCTGCGTCTTTCATTTCATTTTATTTTGATTTCTTGAAGACATTCGTGATTGATTTATGATATGTAATGACTTAGGAATGTCTGCTGCTCTGACTGTTGTATCGAGCACAATTTGTCATTTGTCAAGCACACGTTTTCTCTTTCAAGATGAATGTATTAAAAACAACTAAATCGCATGTTTTAAATTTCCTCCTATAGGAGACTTTTTATGAGAGAAGATGGGAAACAACAAGTCTGTATTGTTGGACTGCAAGAATTTGAGGTCTCAGATGTGCAAATGGTGAAGGAATACATTGAGAAAGGAAATGCTGCTAGAAGTACAGGCTCTACTGGTGCAAATGAGGAATCTTCAAGGTCACATGCTATTTTACAACTTGTCATCAAAAAACACTCCAAGGTGAAAGAGTCCAAGCGGAACAACGATGGGAATGAGTCTAAAGCTGGAAAGGTTGTTGGGAAGATTTCTTTTATCGATCTTGCTGGAAGTGAAAGAGGTGCAGACACTACTGACAATGATCGACAAACTAGGTAAGTTCGAATTTTACTGTTAATCGTATTAACATGTATTGTTTCCTACCCAACTTGGTTGGTTGAATTCTTGCCAGGATAGAGGGTGCTGAAATTAATAAGAGCCTTTTGGCTCTTAAGGAGTGCATTCGTGCTCTGGACAATGACCAGATCCATATACCATTCCGAGGGAGCAAACTTACCGAAGTGCTACGAGACTCTTTCGTTGGTCATTCAAGGACAGTTATGATCTCCTGTATTTCTCCAAATGCCGGTTCATGTGAACACACTCTCAATACTCTGAGATATGCTGATAGGTATCCTTGTTTCTATAACGAACTTTGTTGCAGTATATTGTATTTACTTTCTGTCTAAATGAAGATTATTGCTATCCGACTAAACAGGGTTAAAAGTCTTTCAAGAAGTGCTAACTCCAAAAAAGATCAGTCTGTAAATTCCTTACCGCCAAGTTATAAGGATGCATCTCCTGCCTCAGCTGCCTCAGATGTAGAAGATGCATACGAGAAACCACAGGAAGTAAAAGTTGTCGACGTTGGTCCAAGGCTTGTCGACAAAAATGTTTATAATCTTGACTTCGACAATCGGCTGCCGTCGACGTTTTCTTCAAGCCAACCTTTCAATAGGAGGGAGGAAAGTGGAACAGGTTCTGGCCCAACGGATAAGGAGAGATTTGAAGCGAGTAACTCTTATGGTGGTTCTACAATTCAAAGAACTTACTCGTCAACTTCTCAAACTTCAGTTGATACGGAAGAGAAAGTGCAGAAGGTGTCACCGCCTCGTAGAAAATCAACTAGAGAAGAAAATTCTGAGATAATGGGGAACTGGATCAAGAATGATGGAGGAGGATCTGATTTGTCTGCTACAAACTCCCGGCAGGCAAATGCAGTTAATTATAACCGTACAAGTAGTTTTGGAATCAGACCATATAATCCAGAGCCTCGTACAGATGGAAGTATTAATTCAGTACTCGAGGTAGGAGATCTATACGGTTAATTTTGTTCTGTATTATAAAAGGGTTCACAGGATTTTCTTCGTTGAGTATACGTTTGGTTTGTTGCAGGAGGAAGAGGCTTTAACTGCTGCTCACAGAAAAGAAATCGAGGATACGATGGAGATTGTTCGCGAAGTAAGTAACCTTGCTCATACAACTTTACCGAAATCCATGCCGATAATTCGAGATTGTGCATCATGTTCTGCGTCTTTATTTCAGGAAATGAAGCTTTTGGCTGAGGTGGATCAACCGGGCAGCCAAGTTGACAGTTACGTGACCAAGCTGAGTTTTGTGCTTTCACGCAAGGCTGCCAGCTTGGTGAGCCTTCAAGCTCGCCTTGCCAGGTTCCAGCATCGACTGAAGGAGGAGGAGATACTAAATCGGAAGAGAGTTCCTGGTTAAGAGCAGCTGTTCATTCTCTGCTTTCATTGCTGCATCCATTACCGTCCTATAATTTCATATCATAGATAGTCACGGTACTACTTGTCCCGGCGGTCATTTACATTAAATATTTCTACAAACAGATAAGTTCTCTCAAACGATGCCAACTTGGTTCCCAGCAGTCGATGAGGCCTCCAAGACAGAATTCAGCTTTTTTTGGCACAAATCTCGGGTCATTCATGCCGGCATTAATCTTGCTGTTGGTGCTTATTTGGTGGCAATAGGGCGGAGTCAGGTTCACATCTGTGATGAATCTGATGCTTTCTAGTGGGGTGGCAAAGGGAAATGCTTTGAGAAGTCATTCGTAGAAAAACAGTGTTATTTTTTGAAACCTTTTTCCTTGTTTATTTTGCTTTATAACCTCAAAGGGCACATCATTCGTGTCAATGTAACATTCTATAGATTTATGAAATATATAAATCTATTGTACCAAAAGGAATATATAAATCTATACAGTATATAAAGATTCTAATTAAGCACACATTGACTTAGGTATTTACAAAAAGATTATTTACTATTACTTTTTAGTTTATTTATTATTTAAATGAATTATAATTTCATGGGACAGTAAAAATATATATTTAATAAATATGTCTATTTAAATGTTATTTAATATATTCAAATGACCATAAATTTTAACTTTAACCCCTAAAACCTATAATCTTTAACCCTAATGATATAGTTTAACATTAAAATCTGCTTGAAAATTTCTTTCAACATCATCGCAAAATATTTTTTATTCAAATTTATAGTGTTATTTTTTAAAATTAATTTTTTAATATAAAAGAAAATTAAGTTTTGGTTCATGTTTAGATCCGTTTGAGAGAACTTATCTGTTTGTAGAGCTCAAAAAGTTCAAGTCAATAACGTTGTTTCAAATGGCTCCTGATTTGTTGAAGCAACGTAACCGACCTGAACTCGGAGTATTGTATTATATGTGTAGAAGACATTCATAAAAAATGAAAGGCCGGACTCAGAGGAGGCTTCCAGTCGTTTGGCTTGGCAAAGCCTTTCGCGAGACAAACTTGTCAACCATTCAAGCTCTGTCGATGATCAAAGTTGTTTCTTCCCGGTAGTGTTTAGGTAAAAGCTTTGGAAGCAGCACAAATGGTAGTGGTGGAATACATTTTCAGCCAAATTATACGAGTGCAAGAACAAGCATACAAGCATTTCAAACACGGCATCCGAAAACCTTATTGGACACATCTGAACATGAATACGAAGATATTAATCTTTTGGAACGTACCTATATTAGACACTTTCATGTCCAACATTCGCACCTTAAGTTACCCGGACTCGGAAGGATTCGAGTGTCGGACTACTTAAGTCTCCAAGTCTCGAATTTTTTTTTTTTGGATTAGTCTCGAAATTTTGGACACGAGTAGTTGAACACCTTTTTTATATTTTCCTTTCTATAAATTAATAACACAATATTTTGTCACCCAATCTCCCAAAAAGAAGGATTAGCAATGGAATGGAAATAGACAAGTATATGAGTAAAAATCAAGAACAATAACGTAATGAACTTCAATTGAAGCCATTCCAGCTAGGAATTTCCACTCTCTATGCCATTGTCCGCGATAGACTTGCAGTCACGATAAACACAACAAACCGAAAACGTGTCCAAGGCATATTATGAAGAACCCGAGATCTTAACAGTTTTAAAAGATGGATGAAGCAAACCCAACTCATCTTGAACTTCAAGTGGATTACCAGTCTCATTCCGAACACGCTTAACTCTCCGACTGGCCAGCGATTTATGCCTAAACCCGTACATTTGCAGGATCTGATTATCACCAAAATTAAAAGCTCGATCCATCTGTTTCAAACACCTATCGACCGAGTAATCCCCAAACTTCCCAAAAGGTTTACACCCCACAAAGTGAGTAACCAAAGGCCACCGATGATCCCCTAATCCGGGAGATAATTCTTGATCATTTCCTCGTACCGATCCACCAAAATCCCCCAATAACCGTGCAGATAATAAGCATTCTCCAGATACACTTTCTCACCCCATTTCTCTCGTTCCTTGACCAACAAGTAAACCATTGCAGACTGATCGTTGGCTTCGAAAACCGGCCTACCCTTTAGTTCCCTAGTCAAAATCTTCCCGGCGTCTTCCCTAACCTTCCCTTTCGGACCCATCGGAGCCCAAGCATCTAAAAGATCAAGCGACCATTGACAATTCCTCAACAAGAAACTACCCGTATTTAAACCAATCCAATTCTTTTCATTATAAACCATTTCATTCCAACCATGCATAACCAAATTAGAATCTTTGTACCTTTCCCATGGAAGCTCCTACGCCATATCCGTAAACATCGCATCACTTTCCATCCACCAGAGGAACTCGATCTCCGGATGCGAAAGCAAAAGCTTCCTAATCAACGGCAATTTCGCCCAAAAACCAGCCATTTCCGCATCCAACAACGCCATTTTGTAAAAAATCTCGATCCCGTGTAACCTACAGTAATCGATCTTGTTCTTGATCGATTTCAGTAAGTAATGGTCGCCGACAGGGCTTTCGCAAGGTTTGGGCGATGAACCGGTGACGAGGAGGACTCGAGGCTTGTTTGGACCGATGAAGTTCGGGAAATTCGGGTTGTTGGTGAGCCATTCGGATCTTTGTTGATCCCAATCGAATATTTTAGGCCCGAGTGAGTACAGTTTGTTCGGGTCGGGTTTTTCCTTTTCGCCTTCTTCATCAACGAGAATCTTGGCGATATCAAATTCCGCGTAGCTCTTCTCGTTGTTATCATCAGCCTGAGCAGCGTCATTCTGAGCTTCTTCAAGTAACCGACGGGTATCGACGCTCCTGTGAGGAGTGTCAGAGCCAGCGTGGTGGTTTTGGTTTTCCAAGGCGGCGGAGCCGGGATTTACGGGGTTGATAGTGCCATGTAGGACAATGACGGTTATTAGAAGGCATAGGAACCGTTATTTTGGTTCGGGAACGGCGAATTCATAACCATCGGTCGGACATCTTGGTTTCCTTGCCGGCTCGGCGGCAGGTTCGGATGTAAATTAACAGAAAATTGAGGGGTTCGGGATGCAGGTTAAGACGGTGGAGTGGGAAAGTGAAGAAGGAAGGAAGGAAGAAAAAGAGGGAAAATTGAAAAATAAATGGAAAGCTGGAAACAGAAATAAATTCTGCTTATTTAGTAATATTTTGAAAAGGTCCCCATATTATATACTTTTAGCTGATTTAATCTTTATACTATAATTTAATCATTTCTAACCTTTCTATTTTTCAAAATGTGTATTTTCTATTCTTGGAGTTAGCTTGTTTTTTTCATTATTTCAAATCCTTGGAGAATCAATATTTATTTTTTAAGTAGACTAAGGTGTTATAAGATAGTATCTATTCAGATTGTTTTTTAATTTATAACAATACATACACATCTTGCATATATAACTACTCGAATCTAGATCCTTTATAGAAAATAATATTCTCTTTCTACGATTAAGATGTTTTAATTTTTAAAAATTTCATTTTGGTTTTTAAAATTGAAAATACCTATTTTGAATATATTGGATTAAAAATCATAAAGAATATGATGGGTTAATCAGCTCAAAATATATAGTACAAGGACTTCCTAAGGAGTTTCTCCTTTTATGTTAGGTGTTTAACGGGAGCACATTGTCGGAGATTTTATTTCATTTTAAATATCTTGATGATTTGTTTATAACCGTCGATCCCAATGGTGGGGTCTCGTAAAAGTAGATCGGACGGTGTCAGCAGTTTCAATGGTAGATTGTGTCAAATCGTCCAGTATGGAGTCCCAATCACATGGGCATCACATCACAACACAACACGGTTAAGGCATTTTATTTATTTAAATTGTAAGATTTTATTTTATGCTATTTACTATTATTTGATATATTAGTAGATAAAAAATTTGTTCTTTTTATAATTTTGTCAAAGGAATTTAGAAATTTTTATTTTTTTGAATTAATATTTGGAATTCAAGTTATTGAATAACTCATTTTAATCAATATTATAGAGATTTATAATAGGATGATTTATTTAATTTAATATATTCTATATATTATATCAAGATTTGAACTCTTAATTTTTAAATAAACCTGAAATAAAATTAGTATAAGAATACTATTTTTGAGTCGTTAGATGGATTTAAAAAAATGATTGAAAATGTTAATCGATTAATATAGAAAGAAAATGGGATTAAAGTAATGTAATATTTTAGGTTGTAACCGTTTTTTTATTGAATAAATTACTTTCCGGATTGAAATCTAAATTGTTACACTAAGTACCATAAATCAGGTAGATTGAAAATTTTTCAGGTTAAAACCTAAACCGATGCCATAAGTTTTAAGATATTTTCAATTGAGAAATTAATATAATATTTTAGGTTGTAACTAATTTTCTTATCGATTATGTAACTATTTAGGTTGAAACAAATAATATTTTAAGTTTTAACCTAAAATATTATGTTGAGTATAATAAATTACGTAGATTGGATAACTTTTCAAATTAAAACTTAAGATGTTACCATAAGTTTTGAGTTTCTTTTCAATTGAGAAAATAGGGTACTATTTTAGGTTATAATCGATTTTCTTATCGTATATGTAAGTTTTTAAGTTGGAATCGACCTAAAATAAATTATGTAGATTAATAAAAAAGATACCCTAACTTTTGAGTTTCTTTTTTTTAATTGAGAAACTAGGGCAATATTTTTCATTGTAATATAACTTTTTAAGTTGGAACCAATAACATTCTAGGTCGTTACCTAACTTAAATGACATAATAAAATATGTAGATTAATTAACTTTTCGAGTTAAAACCTAAAAATTTATCATAAATTTTGAGCTTTTTAAATTGAGAAATTATAATAACATTTTAGGTTATAATTTTTTTCTTACATATTTGTAATTTTTTAAGGATTATTGTTATCCCTAATGGTCTCATATTCAAGTCCGACATTTACAGATTTTTGATCGCTCATTATCATATGATTATCTTTTGAATAAATATTATCTTTTGAATAAATATTATTTTATAATAAACCTAAATTAATAAAAAAATGTTGTATTGATATAAAAATATACAAATATTTATAACTTTATTTATTTACGATGGAATAAATTTTAGTATAAATCCATATAAAAATATATTTTAATATTTTAATATACTAAACGAAATTTCTTATAAAAATGGGGATTAAAAAGTAATTTCATGTCGTCGTTGTCACTCTCGTTATCTCACTTATGTGAGCGTCGCCGTTTCTCTTTATCTTCTCCTCTCTTAACCAGCGACAAATGCTAATAATCGAGAATGGTAAATTGCATTTTATTGATTAAATTATTTCTCTGTAATATTTTATTTAAACCGAATTCATTCATTTTTCTAAACCTTAATTGAAGATTATTTGTTAGGGATTTGATTTCCCGTTAGTGAATCTGATCTGTTCTTTAGTCAGAGGCTAACATATTAGGATTTTCTTTTTCCTGCCGAATCATGATTTAAAATTTCTGTAGTTTGTTTGGCTGCTAAGAATTAATTTAAGTATTAGATTATGTGAATCAACCGGTTTCGAGTCGTTGGACGATATGCTTCTTTTATTTGGCTTTTTAATAGAGTTAGATATGTCGTAATCTATTGCGAAATTGTAGATTTTCCCTCTGATGATATGTTCGGCTGCTGAGAAATGCTTGGAAAGTAAACTCGAGTATTAGATTCAAAAGTTTAACTATGTGGAAACTGATCGGTTTCAATGATATACTTCTTATCTTCAGATTGTTGATGGAATTAGAATTACTAAAAATAGCTGTGCTTTTGATTGCTTTTTTGCTATGGTGACATGTTAGAACGATTGAAATTTTGGCGTCTAATTAAGTTGATATTCACACTGGCTTTTGGCTTGAACTATGCATTCATTGAAGAAAGATTTGCTTCCTTAAGCGGTTACCATGCTTTCTGATTCGATACGGTAAAGCTTAAATCGATACTATTGATTTCATTTTACTTTTTATTCAGCAGGATGGGAATGATTCTGTAGATCCAAAACAGGACACTTCTGATATGGCATTTTTCGTGAGTTCAATTCTCCTGCACTTTTATTTATGGTGAATGAATATAAGACTATTTCCATCTCGTCATGGTTATTCAGACCGTGATGAATTTAACTATGCTATTTAGGGGATTCACCGAACATTGCGCTGAAACTGTTAGACCATCTTCGAGATGAGGGTTCTATGGTTTAAAAATGACTTTCATCCAGCCTTTACTGAACTAAGTCCATTTTCTTTGCAGGTTCAGAATCTACTTCAACAAATGGTGAGTTCTTATTTTCATTTGCTTTGAGATTCTGTGTGGAATTAAAGGACAATGCGTTTTAAGCCAATGTAGCTAAGTTTCCTGTTTGATTACATGTTGCAGCAATCAAGATTCCAAACAATGTCGGACTCCATCGTAGCGAAGAATATCCTTTTACATATTGCCTAGTAACTGCAAAACACTACTAGGAAAGTAAATCTTGTTTTGTTGATTTTGGGACCCTTTTGGTGGTCTTAAAGGTTTGAGATTGCAATATACAAAATCGAGGCATCTTACTCGTTCCAGTGCTGTTTCTAGCTCATGTTTGTATATTGTCGGGTAAATTAGCCATGAGAGGGTTTTTGAATTTTGATTTCACTCGTCGTTGTTCCTTAGGTGATACAAAAGCCAAAATGAAGTAATTTCATATTCATTAGATTTATATTCTCCTGTTCGAAACAAAATAAAACACTGCATTTTACTTGTGAACATTTTCTTGATCTCCTTGACTTCAATGCACTTGATGAGATGGGCGGCAGGATAGACGAGTTGGAGAAAAACGTCAATGAACTCAGAACAGAGTTGGGTGGAGAGAACTCTCCCCCTTCGGTTCCTCTTGCGGCTAAAGATGATTCCAATTCCCCGAGTGGGTCATAACTGTGTTCTGTGATAACTTGAAGGATTTTGGCATCTAAATCCATGGTATTTCTAGACTCTATTGCATTTGGTACCTGATTTTTCTCATGGAAAACCTGAATTATGCTAGTATTTTTAATCTATACATATTCTAAAACTAGACTCGGGTTTAAGTATCGAATGTATATGTTCATTTTTTTTCAGTCTTGTGTGTTTCGTGAGTCGTCGTCCGGATATTCACGCGCCTGAATGAAAATTCTACCAATCTAGTAAAATAAAAATTTAATCAATTTATTTGAAAATTCTGACGAGGAGCCAAGTTGATAAAAATAGATGATTTTCTTAAATCTTACTCTTGTTGGGGTAAGGTCTCGAATCTGAAGAAGCAAATGCTAGGAAATCGGAATCATGTTACAAAATATACATTACTTTTGCATCCAAAGTAATCATTGTTTCAATGGCTTTGCTCTTCTCGATCCCTTTTAAAACAAAGTTATTGGCAAACGACTAATGAAGAGACTCACTCCAACTCCGGCTCACCGAAATCGGCTGTCCCCATATTCGACTTCACCAAGAGAGTTCAACCAACTGGTGCAATCGAAAAAGTCGATGTTGCCTTCTGGGGTGATTTCTGCAAGTTCATTATGTTGATAGTCATAAATTTCAACACGTCCCCACTTTGCAAGATAGATATTTGATAGTTGAAACTTGAAAGTGCCCAATGAAGCAGTGACGGATCCGCGCTTTGGTGAGGTTGAGTAATTATTTACTATGATATTCGAAATTTATTAATTGTGTTTATCTTAAAATTTTATTTTTACCCACTCTACATAAAAAATTTATGTTGTCAATATATATATATATACTCATCCTCAAAAGTATTTTTAAATTTATCGCTAAAAGCATCCATGACTCTTCCTCCATCTCCAATACTCCATTTTTCAATTCAAATATAATTCTTAATCTTTAAATTACCCGTAAGTTACGGATTTTCAATTCCTAAATAATATTTAAATAATATGATTAATTATAAGAATTTAAAAGGATCATAAAAAAAAGAAAAAACTAAACCTAAAATTTAAGCATAATACGTCAATTAATGATAAAATTTAATTTAACAAAGTTTATAATTATCATTTGAATTAGATCACAATTTCAAAATACAAAATATATATATGATGAAACGAATATAAAGACTAAATATATAACTTATACATAATATAAAATCTAATAAAAAATTTAATCATTTTAACTCACAAGACTCAATTATATTTTATTCCCACGTTTAATCAACATAATCTTTTTATCGATCTCCTCTTTTAAATATATAGCTCTTTATTCACAATTTCAATTATTGACCAATATATTACTTTCTTTTGGACCACGTTTCATCATTCAAATAACTAATGAAATGATTTCAAAAATAATAATAATGAAAACTTATAATCAATTACAAATGGAGAGTTTAGAACTGGTATTCATATCTTATTTGCATGTATTTTTTTCAATTATTAAAATCTTTTCATCAGTTTTTTATATCAATTATTTAATATTACTGTATTAAACCGAAATAACTCTGCTAAGTGAATCAAACCTTAATCAGATACATCTGGATATAAATAGATAGCTTAAACTCTTACATAGCTACTCATATTATTTATTATTTATTTATATAATTCACCACAAATAAAAAAAATTAATTGAATCTAGTTAAACCATAAACTTCGAATATTAAAATTAAGGGATGAGACACTATATTCAATAAGCAAGGTATGTGCTTCGAATATTGATATTTGTGAATGAAACACTATATTCAATAAGCAAGGTTTGTGCTTCGAATATTGATATTTGTGAATGAAACAAACTGAGTTTGGAGGATATTCCTCGTCTCTACAATACTCGATCCAAATTAATCAATTAATGAACAAGGCACTAATGATCATTAAAAATATGAAAATTAAAATATGATAATTGGCCTATGGCTTTCTTCTTGATCTAAATTTCCTTGAATGTTAGCACGTAAAGTTCGAGGATTCGGCTAACAATTTTTTCCCATTTTTTATGATTCAGAAGATCTCCAAAATAATTTTATTCATATTAATGCATTTATTTTTATGTTGTATGATATAATTTATTATAATGTTAGCAACTATAAAATGGCTTTAGAGCAACGTTCATATCAAAATCATTCCCTTCTATTCACCACCATCGATGGTTCTCTTCACTCTCCTCCTTGCACCTCTCCTTCTCCTCCTCCTTTTCTTCATCGTCCGGCCCAAACTGGTCACCGTACCGATAAAAAACCGTCATGTATTCATATCCGGCGGCTCGTGTGGCATCGGTTTAGCCCTAGCTCATAAGACCGTTTTAGAAGGAGCTCGTGTCTCGCTTCTAGCTCGTTCCCTCCAAAAGCTCAAGGAGTCTCAAGAATCAATCAGGGAAGCCTATGGCGTCGAGGTAGCAATCTTCTCCGCCGATGTCCGCGATTACGACATCGTGAAACAAGTGGTCGTGGAAGCCGGTCCCATAGACGTCAGTGGCGGATCCAGAAATTTATAAATGGGGGTCCAAAATTTTAATTTTCTTTTCTTAAAAATAATGGGGTGCAAAATTTTTTTATTTTTTTTATTTTTCTTTAACATATTATACTAAATTTCATTTCCCTCCCCTAAATAATGGGGATGCACTTGATCCCTATGGGACTTAGTGCATCCGCCCCTGATAGACGTGCTGGTGGTAAACCAAAGAATTTTTGTGCCCGGAGAGTTGGTGAAGCAGGGGCTGGATGATATCAAGTCCACAATAGAAGTGAATTTGATGGGGGAGCTTTAACGATATCAAAGCTGCTTTGCCATTTGTCGTAATCGGTTTTCGCCCGAGCACGAATTTTTACTTGGCGGAGAAAATTTAAAATGAATAAATAAATGATTTTTATAAAATAATATTTTGGGAGTCGCCATTGACCTCTTTTGGGTTAGGTAGGTCAAATACCTAAAAATAATATTTTAAAATAATTTTTAAGAAAACACAATTTAAAAGATAAAACTGATATGCGTATAACAAAAAATTAAAAAAAAATCGTGGTCGATTACGTTTGGGGAAGGATTAGCACTCCCACAACGCCCAAAATTAGTACTTATTAATTATAAATTGTCTCTATTATCAGAAATTTAAAAAATTCAAAGATATATTTAATTTATAATATTGTTATTTCAAATTTATAATTTTATGAAAATATATTAATTTTTATATGTAAATAAAATATTTATTTATTTAGAAATATCAAAAAATGACTTCTAGGTGTTTTAAGACAGCTCTTTCCTTCGATATTAAAAAATAAATAAATTTTAATTAAATATTTCTTAAAAATTAATATATATTTTATAGGATAAAAATATCAGAAAACGGATTTCTATGTGCTTTAAGACATCCCTTTTCTTTAATATTATTAAAATAGGATAAAAATAATTTATATAAAGGATTTTAATAAAAAGTAAAATAAATAAATAAATATTATTTATTATATATATATTTATAATAATAATAATATTTTAAATATATTGATAATAAACATATAAAATTTAAACAATAACAATAATAAATGAAAGTAAAAATAATAAAAACTAATAATTTAAAGTTAATGACTAAATTAGAATATATTAAAATTAAATATCTAATTCACAATTAATTTATTTAAAATTACAGGGATTAAACATGCTATTTTTTATTTATTTAATTTAGGGACTAAAATAAATTATATTAAATTTGAATATCAAATTAAAATAAATTAAAACATGCTTTCAGGATTAAAATATTAATTAATAAAATTATGAGGACTAAATTGGTTATTTGCCTAAAATATATATATTTTATGGAAATGACTAAATTATAATAAATTAAAATTCGAATACCAAATTATTTTATGCTTTGATCTTTTGTCAACTTTTCTTCTTTAAGGGCATTAACAAGCTGTTGTTTTTCATTAACCGTTCCTCCTGATTTGAACGTGGTCTTCAACTGAGGGAAAAACATGTGTTCCCAATAGATTTCTTCTCCTTTCAACCTTGCATTTTTATCTTCGCATCTTCTTTTCATCTATTTGTTCTTTTGCTAAAAATTGGGCTTAAATCCAAGCCCAAAACGACATTTCTTCATCTTCATACTTACATGAACTGAACTCTCTTGAATATTCTTTCCCAAACCTTTCCCAGTTTTAGCTCCAATGCCTAGAGTCTGTCGTACAGTCATCTTAATGCAATCAGACAATCTGGGATGTGAAATTTTGTTTCCTTCTGCAATAAAGGTTGCATTAACAAATTCCAAAGCTCAGAAAGAGCATTCGAGAGCATCATCATTGGTTTCAATATACGGAGCATTACTTGTTACAGATGCAATGATTTCTTCCTTATCTCCTACGCATATTAGTTGACCATCAACAAGAATTTCAGTTTCTGATGCAACGACGAAGGAACAGCTCCTGCAGAATGGATCTACGGCCTCCCCAATAAACAATTATATGTAGGGTGGATATCCATTACCACAAAGTCAATATTGTATACAACTGGTCCGATAAGCAGTGGTATTTCCATTTTTCCAAGTACCTCTTTCTGAGTGCCATCGAAAGCTCGCACTATGTTATAATAATTCTTCATGTGCGATTTATCCACCGACATTCTTTGAAGTGTAACCAGAGGCATTAAGTTAAGGGCATATACATTGTCAATTAGTACTCCTGGCAACATATGACCATGACAATGTGGGGTAATATTCAGAGCTTTTATTGATCCCATTCTGCCTTCAGGTATTTCATCGTCCGTGAACGTTATGTAATTATCAGCAGCTATGCGCTCCACAATCCTGTCAAGCTTATTGAGGGATATATCTTCAGGGATAAATGTTTGATTAAGCATTTTCATCAAGGCATTTCTGTGTGCTTCTGAATTCATCAATAGATCAATAATTGAAATCCGCGCTTGCTGTTTATGTAGCGGTTCAACCACATTATATTTGTTATGTTTCAGAAATTTCAAAAATTATTACGCTTGTTTTTCTATTACAGGCTCATTGAATGCTAGAGGGGATTCATCATCAAATACCTTTTAGGGTATTACCGTAGCTTTTTCTTTTGCTTTTGTTTGTTCTGATGCATTTGATGTGTCAGAAGAATAACATCTCCCACTTCTTGTAAAGAACCAGACTTCACT